ATAGATAGATAGATAGGTAGATAGGTAGATAGATAGATAGATAGAGAGAGAGATAGATAGATAAACTGATAGATTGATAGATAGATAGAGAGAGAGATAGATAGATAAACTGATAGATAGATAGATAGATAGATAGATAGATAGATAGATAGATAGATAGATAGATAGATAGATAGATAGATAGATAAACTGATAGATTGATAGATAGATAGATAGATAGATAGATAGATAGATAGATAGATAGATAGATAGATAGGTAGATAGGTAGATAGATAGATAGATAGAGAGAGAGATCAACTTTTACATCCAAATGCATCAGTTTAATATGAAAAATGCAAATAAAAAAAATAATGTGTATTATAATTACAGAGAGGATTATAGGTGTAAAACAAAGTGAAAGTTGACAATGGAAAGCAAACACAGATCAGCTGTTCATCTAGACAAGCAGCACTAGCTGTTCTTTACACGTGTAACTGAACCTGTTTCACTAACAGCCTTTCATTCCTGCAAACCACTGAATGTTTTTGTTTATGTGAGCATTAACACACCTTTCCACACCTTACAGTTAAACCTGCTAACATTGGTGTGTTTTATGCTTTTATATTATAGGAACCTGTTACCTTTACTAACAAGACATACCTGAAAAATCAGACAAAGGCATGACACGCACTGAAACACATGACAAAAGAAAATATTAAACATAACAAAATACCACCCATCAAACCTGTTATGTACTGTACACTGTAAAAAATTACTGTGAATTTAATGGTAAAAGACTGTAAAAATGCTACAGTAAAATCCTGTTAAATGGTTAACGGTAAATTCCCCTACTATATACAGTGATAAACTGTATTGGACATTACATGTATTGGACATTAATTTTATGGTAGTAAACCATTTTTGGAAGTGAAAAAGAATGCATAATTTACAGTGAATAACCGTAAATTGACATTGCCAGAATTTCCTGCGATACATTTCAAATTTGATGTTTTTTTGTTGAAATAACTATGTTTCTTCTTAATTTTTTCTTATCAGTTTTGTATATTAGGGTTGTGTGTTATACCTAATGTTGTTAAATGAATGTTTATTGCATGATTTCAGTTTCATGTGTGTTACCGTGATGGTGTTTGGTGGTTGTGTGAATGACATTGTGCAGTTATTCTTTAAAAGCTGTTTGTGATGGGCTTCATCATGTGACTTTCTCATCACCACCTGCATCTGCATTAGATTACGGTATTTAACTGAAAATTTAAGTTAAAACTGTAAAACCTAAAACGTTGCTACTGTATTTTTTACTGTAATATTCCGGCAACCACAACTGCCGTTTTTTTTACCGTAAATTTTACGGAATTTTTTTTACAGTGTACATGCACAGCTTTATGAGAAGCATTTGGTTCTAAAAGTGATTATGAGGTGTAATTTCTCAAAATAACTTTTCCACAGAAGAAAGGAAGTCATGCATGCATGGAATAACATTACAGTAATTTTTTAATTTTTGCATAAATTATTCCTAGCCTTTATTATCTAATATTTGCATTATATTGGCATTTATTTGCTAAACAGGCTCACCGATTTGTAAGACAAATAAATATAAAATAACTATATAGAAAATATTGTTCAGCTGGCGGCTCATAATTGTATAGTATTTCAGCAGCAGTCCATCTAATGTGTCTCATGGCAGTGAACAAACTGAACATTTGTCTGAGACACACCTTCATAACGACAAGACTTCCCTGAACATGTATTCCATGTATAAGCACAAAACATTAGCTTGTGAGAAGTCCATTATTAAATTGTTTTGCATTTTTGGAGCCTATGATGTGCCAAATTATTATAATTTTTTTTCATTATTTCAGACTTTTGACTGGCGCTTGGAAATCTGATCGTGTCACCCCTGTATTGTGCTCTTTGGCTGCTGGTCAGCTACAGAATTGATTTTAAAAATGCATTTCTTGCTTTTAAAGCTCTGACCAGATCAGCTCCTAAATATCTCTGTGAAACTTTAACTCCAAATACATTTGTTAGTTCTCTGAGGTCTTCTGAACAAAGATTGTCAATGGTCCCAAGATCTAGATTAAAGCTGAGAGGTGACTGTGCTTTTTCAGTTGTTGAGCCAGAAACTGTGGAATAGTCTCCCGGTTTCCCTCAGAGTAGTTTTCTCAGAATCTGAATTTAAATCTAAGTTAATAACCTATCTTTTTTTTTCAGGTAACTGTGTTCCTAGAGTTTGAAGCTCAGTTACTTATAGCTGTTTTGATGTACTCCTCGCTCTCAATGCATTATGGTTCTGTACAGCACACTGGTCAACTGCTGTTGTTTTTATTGTGCTTTATAAATGAATTTTGATTTGATTTAATACTGTATATATTTTTAAGAAATAGTTATGGTTAGGTTTAAAGGTGTGGGATTAGTGACTCATAATATCTTTTTAATGCTATATAGTTATTAAAATTATAATTTTCCTGAACATCAGTCTATAACATTTTATATTCCTTTATATTTACTAGGTTATTTTTAGGTTAAGGGATCTAAAAATTTAAATTGTTTATTGATAAAATTATGAAAGTGCATAGACACAAATATTTTATGATATAAAAAGATTTGAAATTATTATTTTAATTTTTTGTAAATACATAATAGTCTTTTAAATGTTTCAATATGTCCAAATTGTATGTTTCTGTATCAATCAAATGTATGTTTTGTGCCTGTAAATGTGAAACACTAATACCTACATATAAACAATGAAACCAGGCTGTTCTGAGACACACCCTCATAATGACACGACTTTCCTGAACATGTATTCCAGCGAGCTGAGCTGCTGGAGCTGTGTAATCTCTAAGCAGATAGACAGACCTAGTTTTTAACTACCCACAAAATTAAAATAAGAGAGAAGATGCCTCGATCTGAACAAACCAGAAAAACTCTCTCCGATCACAGGAAAAGTCTCCAGGATCTAAAAAAGTCCTATGAAGCAAGTGAAGGTAAGGGAAGACAGATGTGTTGTGTGTGGATGTAAACGTAATGTTCATTCGAATCACGTTTAGAGTAATTTTCTCTTCTCAAAATAGGCTACAAGGAATTAGATTACTTAAAAATGAAGCAACACATTATATCCAGTCTTTTAACTCCTGTCATCACATTACCTGTTATGTAAAGACAGTAAACCCGATAGATTTATTAAGGATAGAAAGTTAGACTAATGTTTTCACAGAGAAAAAATCCACCCACAGTAGGGTGACCATATTTTAGTTTTTCAAAAAGTGGACAGTAGGGGGTGGGGTTCTTGGGTGGGGACAGGGGCGGGGCTTCGTCTAACTGCATACATAGCAAGGTATTTTTTGTTTGTTTGCTTATTTTTTTTTATAATAAATAAAAAGAAAACAAGTAGAAATAATAGAAAAAGAATAGGGAATGCTAGTGTTAGAGGGTCATTTTTAAATATGACCGTAGCTGGGGTTTGTGGGACCCAGGTGCAGGTTGTACCAGTGAGCCCTGTTTGAAATGATTTCATTTGTATGTTCGTTCTATTTATTTATTTATGCTATTTACACAATGTTTGCGTTTTTTTTTTCAAGTTTGTATGTGTCCAGGTACAGAAACCGAATAATCAAATGTAAAATATCACTGTGTAGTCTTCACTGTAAAAATTAAATATACAGCCAAACCAAAATGTATTCAGACACCTTCAACATTTCTCACATTATCACAGTTTATTCACCATAGTTTAGAAAATGGTAATAAAATATGACAAGAACTTAAACTGTGTCAGAACAAATTGATCTTGATAATGTTAGATAACTTTGATAGAAAGGTATGTAATGGATTACAATCAACCAAAACTGTTAGTATGACAATATTTACACAACTATCAATACTTTATTGTTCAATTACCAAGCAATGCTTAATTTAGTTCAGTCTGTGGTGTAAAAAGGTCACATTAGCAATTAAAGAAAAAACACTTCAGCAAAACATGGACAGGTCAAAGTGCCTGAATAATTTTTGGTCCGAATTTTTTTATAAATTTTACTGGTAGTACATTGTATGAAGAATATTTTGGGTATAATTTGTCACAGTTTGCTTTATTTTGCTGTCCTCACTTACATAAATGAACTGTAGTGTCCTGCACCCACTAGTAAAAATATAAAATATTATATATGTTGTCTGAATAATTTTTGGTTTGACTGTGGATTAATTATTGTTAAAACTACAAAGTAATTCAGTCAAGAGCAGCGAGTGATTTTCTTTCTTTCATTTTCTTGGATTAACATTACATCAGCTAAAGCATTTTTTTTTAATGCTTTGAACTCTTTTGAATGTTTAAGTTGGCAAGGCTTAAAAACACGTTCAAATGATAAGCTTTCGTGACGATGCGCAGCAGTGGCCCGTCAACTGTCCTGATGGTCTTTTTATGCTGCCCCTATAATCCCCTATAATCGTCACCACCTTTCACCCCACTAGCGACGGCCCTGATGCTACTGTTAGAAGGTCATTATTTATAATAAATAAAAAGAAAATAAGTAGAAAGAATATAGAATGCTAGTGTTAGAGGCTCTTCTTTCTTTATAAATAAAACAAGTAGCTAGAATAGAAATAGAATAGAGAGTGCAAATGTTGGAGGGTCAAGTTTAAAAAAAAACAAGGAGTGTTTGCTGTCGCTGCGTGTTCAGCTCCTCTTGTTTCCACCCCAATTCCATTTAACTCCCAATATCTCACTGTATCCTTATTTAATCTTCAGATATTCATTCCCTTCTACCCTAGGGTGACCATACGTCTTCCCCCCCCCCCCCCCCCCCCCCCCCCCCCCCCCGACCATACATCCTCTTTTTCCCGGACATGTCCTCTTTTTGGACCTACAAAAATGCGTCAGGCCGGGATTTCTTAATTGCCCAAAATATCCGGGATTCGGCTGTTTTCTTAATCCCACTCCAGCTGAATCTCTGACCATTGCCACCTGCTCCCACAACATGTGTTTCGGTCCCGCGATTTTCAAGTCCACTCCTTTAAACATTCTAATATTGTGTATAATTTTGGCGCATCAGGCTGCCCACTGCTCCGGGTGTGTGTTCACGGTGTGAGTGTGCACTTTGGATGGGATAAATGCAGAGCACAAATTCCGAGTATGGGTCACCATACTTGGCCACATGTCACTTCACTTTTTTTTCACTTTCTGTTAGCTTTTAATATACAGCAACCGCACGCGCGTCCATGTATAACGCTTCTCATAACTATAGTATGTGAAAATAAGTGTATTCACTGAGTTGATGATCTGAATGAGAGAGAGAGAGACAGAGAGAGACAGAGAGAGAGAGAGGGAGAGAGAGAGAGATGCAGAGCGTGCGCAGAGCAGGGCAACGTGAGGAACAGGATGAAAACCGCTGCTTTAGAACATTGATTTTGAAACCTGTTAATCCATTAGAATCATTAGAAGACAGAATCGCGATTCATACACTGAACAAAATTATAAACACAACACTTTTGGTTTTGCCCCCATTTTTCATGAGCTGAACTCAAAGATCTAAGACTTATTCTATGTACACAAAAGGCCTATTTCTCTCAAATATTGTTCACAGATCTGTCTAAATCTGTGTTAGTGAGCACTTCTCCTTTGCCGAGATAATCCATCCACCTCACAGGTGTGGCATATCAAGATGCTGATTAGACAGCATGACATTAAAAAAGTGAAATCGCAATCAACTACCCCTTTAATATTTTCAAGAAACGACTGGAAACACATCTCTTTCATCTTCATTTGACCCTCTAACTCTAGCACTCTCTATTCTAATACTACTTCTAATTTTATCTCCTTGTTTTTTTATTAAAAAAACTTGACACTCTAACATTTGCACTCTCTATTCTATTTCTATTCCAACTACTTGTTTTATTTATAAAGAAAGAAGAGCCTCTAACACTAGCATTCTCTATTCTTTCTCTATTCTTTCTACTTATTTTCTTTTTATTTATTATAAATAATGACCTTCTAACACTAGCATTATGTATTCTTTTTCTGTTCTATTGAATTGTTTTATTTTTATATAAAAATGACCCTCTAACACTAGCATTCCCTATTCTTTTTTTATTATTTTTACTTGTTTTCATTTTATTTATTATACAAACAAAATAAGCAAACAAACAAACATAAAACCTTGCTAGGTATACTTTTAGGTGAAGCCCCGCCCCTGTCCCCGCCCCCTACTGTCCTCTTTTTGAAAAATTTAAATATGGTCACCCTATTCTAGCCACACTATTGCTCGAACTCCTAAAACTAGTCCCACCATTTGAATAACAATACAGCCTAAATTTTGTATAGGATAATTTATATTAGCATTTAAATGAACACAAATATAACCTGCACTCTTCTGAAATGTCTTATCCTGTATATATATTGATAATCAATATTTCAAACAAATTAAAATAATAAATTTTATATATATATATATGTATATATATATAATTTTGTTATTTTATTATTGTAAAAAAATTTTTATACGTGTACTGCGTTAGGCTATCCGAGACTTGTCATAGCACTTGCATATTATTGCTCTTTTGTTGGTTTTGAATGCTTCTATTGTTCCAACAGTTATGGGAGATTATCAAGGATGAATTGCAGGACATCCTGAAGAAATACTCCTTAGACTTCTCAAAAGAACAAATGAAGGTAAAAAAATAACCAGATGATTGTGCCATTTTACTTCTCTCCAGGAAGAAATATACAATAAGTTGTGCTGTCAACAGTATTAATTTTGTAGATCATAATTCTTTATCTTTAAACTGAAATGCCAAGTAATCACATGATGTCAGTGTAAGGGCAGATTTAGTGATTCGGGGGCCCCAGGCAAAATCTAGGAATGGGGCCCTATACATTTGCACACATTTACCTAAATCAACCTTGAGGTTGTTTTTGTGTTGTGATGCTTGCTGTGTGACGGGGCTGACGAGACGTGAGACGTGTGGATCCATCTGCAAGCTTTTATTCAAGAGACGTGGTTTAACAGGCAGGGTCGAATAATGGCAAACAGGTATATGGCGGGCAAAAACACAAGAATAGTCCTAGGGCTAGCGTAGGTCACCGATCGGCAGACAGAATCACGGGCGAGACGAGAGGGAAAATCCAGGAAAACAAGCAAAGATCAGAAACCGCAAAAACAGGCAAGGCAAAACAAGGAAAACACAGAGACTCGGAATGGGGTACGGGCTAAACAATACTCCACAGAGAAAGGTGGTTAGAGTGGGTGTTATATAGTGAGTGAGGTGATAAGAAACAGCTGTGTGCAATGAGTGCAATCAGTGCAATGTGCAAACCGTGCAATGAATGATGGGATATGTAGTCCGGGGTGCTATGCAACAGTTTGTGTTGTGCGAGAGTCAATGTAAAGTAAAGGGTGACCTCTGGTGGTGAATAAACGGAAGTCCATGGACCGAATTCGTGACATGCTGCTGCACAATGGTGCCCAATAGTTGTGTTCAATGTTTCTACATTTTTCATGTACATGTTATAATAATTCTTTCATGTTGTAGACCAAGAAAAAGCAATTGATTTACAGTTGACATATGGGTTTTCACAAAAACAAAATAAATTATTTAACAATAAACCTCACAATCGAGCCTTTAAACCATTTTTTTTAAAGATAGGGATGAGTCAGAAGTATAAATTATCATATAAATTAAAAAGGGGGTTGTGGGTGAATTTTTGCGTTGGTCTGAACAAAAACTGCAGATGGGATTAATGAAAATGAACAGTTCTCTGCCAGCAGGAGACACTTTTGGAACGTCAGAAATATAGTGTTTTCCCCGGTAATAGCTGTAAACAAAGCAGTGTTCATTAACACTACATCATCAGATAAAATTAATGTATATATATATA